GGGAATTTCCCATTCCCTGTTCTTCGGGAATTTCCTGTTCCCCATTGGGAATTTCCCATTTTTTGGGATTTTCCCTCCACAATCCCAATCCCAGCCCCCTCCAGGCACAGCCCAGGTGAGGGGGGGCGGGGCCCCAGGTGCTCCCAGGTGGGCCCAGCAGGGAGGGGCTCACCTGGAGCTCACCTGGACCCACCTGGGCTCACCTGGACCCACCTGGGCTTACCTGGAGCTCACCTGGAGCTCACCTGGACCCACCTGGGCTTACCTGGAGCTCACCTGGACCCACCTGGAACTCACCTGAGCCCACCTGAGCTCACCTGGACCCACCTGAGCTCACCTGGAGCTCACCTGGACCCACCTGGAACTCACCTGAGCCCACCTGAGCTCACCTGGGCTCACCTGTGGGAAGGCGGCGCGGGAACCTCGGCAGGGCGGAGCCGGGACGTCCTCTGGGAACAAGGGAGGGGTCAGGGATGGAGCCGGAGCCAGGTGGGAACGGGGAGGGCGGGGCAGCCCCAGGTGAGCCCAGGGGTTCCCAGGTGAGCCCAGGTGAGCCCGCCGGGAGCTCTCCCTTTACCATCGGATCCCAGGAGCTCCCCGAGCACGTCCTCGACAGGATCTGGAACAGGACAGAGCCCAGGTGAGCCCAGGTGAGCCCAGGTGAGCCCAGGTGGGTCCAGGTGGGTCCAGGTGAGCTCAGGTGAGCCCAGGTGGGCCCAGGTGGGTCCAGGTGGGTCCAGGTGAGCTCAGGTGAGCCCAGGTGGGCCCAGGTGGGTCCAGGTGAGCTCAGGTGGGCCCAGGTGGGTTCCCTGTACCAAGCAGATGGGAAAAGCTCCTGGAACATCTCACCTGTCCCATCCCACCTGTCCATCCCACCTGTCCATATCCCACCTGTCCATCTCACCTGTCCCATCCCACCTGTCCCATCTCACCTGTCCATATCTCACCTGTCCCATCCCACCTGTCCATATCTCACCTGTCCATATCTCACCTGTCTATATCCCACCTGTCCATATCCCACCTGTCCCATCTCACCTGTCCCATCTCACCTGTCCATCCCACCTGTCCATCCCACCTGTCCATCTCACCTGTCCCATCTCACCTGTCCCATCTCACCTGTCCATATCCCACCTGTCCCATCACCTGTCCCATCTCACCTGTCCATATCCCACCTGTCCCATCACCTGTCCCATCTCACCTGTCCCATCCCACCTGTCCCATCCTATCTGTCCATATCTCACCTCTCCATGTCCCACCTGTCCCATCTCACCTGTCCATGTCCCACCTGTCCCATCTCACCTGTCCCCTGGGACATTCCCACCCCTCTCCATCCCAGCATTCCCAGGAACCCAAATCCCCTGGAGAGCAGGTGAGGACAGGTGAGGACAGGTGGGACAGGTGAGGAGGACAAGGACAGGTGAGGTGAATGAGAACAGGTGAGGACAGGTGAGGACAGGTGAGGGGGACAAGGACAGGTGAGGTGAATGAGAACAGGTGAGGACAGGTGGGACAGGTGAGGAGGACAAGGACAGGTGAGGTGAATGAGAACAGGTGAGGACAGGTGAGAGCAGATGAGGGGAACAAGGACAGGTGGGACAGGTGGGACAGGTGAGGACAGGTGAGGACAGGTGGGACAGGTGAGGAGAACAAGGACAGGTGGGACAGGTGAGGACAGGTGAGGACAGGTG